TTTTCCCTTTGTGATGTTCCAATGTTGAGATGGCATTAAAGTCCCCTCCAAGAATCCAGCAATTATTATTGTTTTGATTGCTGATGTTGATAGCTTCCCAAAGATCTTTTCTATCTTCCCTGGTGTGTTTGCCATAAACTCCAGAGAATAAGATATTTTCTTTTGTTTGATGACACTGGAAGAGAACATTAATCATTTGCCCCAAGTCTGTGTGATTGATATATGTGAGATGTTCATTCTTCCACAATATCCAGATTCTGTTACTTGAACTATGGATGGAGTTGGAGAATCCCAGTTCAAGTTGCAGGTTGGGAAGGTTATTAGGTTGGGATTTAGGTTCAATAATGGTAAGGATGGAAATTTTGTGTTTTGAAACTAGAAGGGATAACCTCTCCTTTTTAGAAGTTAGCCCACAGAGGTTCCAAAAGAGGCAATTCATTGATAACTTGTGTGTGAGGAACTGTTTGCTGTGGCTTTTTCCAGAAGTCTTTTGGATTTCCTTGTATTGATAGTTGTAAATCCATCCTTTTCAGGTTCTCTTTGTTCCTGATGGTTTCTTGTGGTTGGAGGAGGAATTGAAATTTCTGGATCACTCAGTTAATTCACATTGAATTTTAAGCCTGTTTCCTGAATGTCTGAATCATCTTTTGAGGTCATGATCATATCTTCTGATGATTTTCTGCAGATGTTAGACATGTCTATCATCATGGCTTCTATAAGCTCATCATCTGAGGGTGTGGGTGAAGGTGAGTTTGTGAAGAGGTTGTTATGGTTGGTGTCTGATATAATTGGTTCAGGTGTGTTGATTGTATCAGGCTGGGATGAAATAGTGGGTTGGCTTTCAGGGTGGGGAGTGTGGATTGGATTTATGGTTTGTGTATGAGTGGTAAGTTTTGGGTGATGTTCTGTGGGGGTGGAATGTGTGGGGCTGCTGGTTAAGGGTTTATTTATTTCAGGACTAGATGTTTCCTGGCTGTCAGTGGTAGTGGTGGGTCCTGTGGGTTTCTGGACTGTGGGTTCTGGAATGTTTTTTTTGGGTTGTTCAGTTTGGTGGGTAGTGGTATTGCTCTTTGTGGTTGATTGACTGGCATTTGAAATGGGTGGATCCAGAGGTTTTAGATTTGGGAGTGGGGTTTGGGTTGTTTGGATTGTATTTGTTGATGGGTTATCAAGACATGACTCGGTGTTTTTGTCTGTTTTCTTTTGGAAAATGGTGACTGTTTTGGCTTTGGGATTTTTGGGAATATTTCGGCCATGGCTTGAGTTTTCCTGCAACTGGTTAGGTTCTTGAACTTGCTTGTTTTTCAGCATTTTGCATTCTCCAGTGTGTCTAGATATGCCCTTGCATGTGTGACAGTAAGTGGGAACTTCTTCATAAGTAGCTTCCAGGGACAGTTGCTGAGATCCATTTTGAATGTAGAATTTTGTAATTTGTGGTTGAGAGATGTCAACCTCAACACAAATTCTGGCTAATGAAGGTCTGCCAAAATTCTGTGTAGTAGCATCAAGCTTGATAGTTTTACCAAAGACTTGGCCAATTCTAAGAAGGGAGTCTGAAGAGTGTAGGTGAATAGGTAAGTCTTTGATTCCTATCCAAACTGGCATAATGGGGGATTCAAAATTGGGATCAAAAGTTGGTGTCCATTTGGATATCAACATTTTAAAGGGGCCTAAAACCCACTCCCTTCTTTTGAAGCATCTGTGGTATTCCTCTTGG